AGCCCAAACGACTCACACCAGGAGGAGGGGCCCGAACGACTCACACCAAGACGAAGGGCCCGAACAACTCACACCACGAGAAGCCCGAACGACTCACACCAGGACGAAGAGCCCGAACGACTCACACCACGAAGAGCACGAACGACTCACACCAGGAAGAAGGGCCCGAAAGACTCACACCAGGACGAGAGACCCGAACGACTCGAACCACGAGAAGCCCCAACGACTCACACCTGGACGAGGGGCCCGAACGACTCACACAACAAGGAGCCCGAACGACTCACACCAGGAATAGGGTCCCGAAGGACTCACACAAGGACGACGGGGCCGAAGGACTCACACCACGAGGGCCCCCAACGACGCCCACCAGTCGTCGTCGTTGTCGTCGTCGTCGACGTCGTCGTCGTCGTCGTCGTCGTCGTCGTCGCCGCCGCCTTCGTCGCCGTCGTCGTCGACGTCGTCGTCGTCGTCGTCGTCGCGGTTGTGGTCGTCGTCGTCGTTGCGGTCGATATCGTCGTCGTCGTCGGGTGCGTCGTCGTTGTTCAGATCATCGCTGTGGTCGTCGTCTCCGGTAAGTCCCTCTTGTCTCCCACCGCTTTCTTTCCCTCCTCCTCCGCCTCGTCCTTCTCCCGCTCCCCCCACAAGGAGGATGTACAATGAGGCGGGAGGAAGGAGGAACAGGGGAGATATGCGGGGGCAAGCGGACACACGCCTGAAAAACACGACTGTCGGCATGCTTCGCAAGAGTTGCTGTTGTGAGATGGGCTGGTGGGGATACGCGAAGCGTAAAGAATTTGGTTTGAGGAGGTAGCGGGCGCAGGCGCAGGCAGCGTCGTGGGGGGCGATACCTACCCCCCATCTCTCCCGAAACACCTCTGTCGCGTTGGCGCGTGCTTGTGCTCACTCCCGTACTGTTTGCACAGTGGCGTCCTCGGCGACGTCTGTCGGGGCGTCTCTGTGGAAGCGCATACGGTTGGCAACTGTGTAAACTGCGTGGGCCACGAGGGCGACAACGGTGAGAAGGTCCTTGCTGAGCGCCGCTGGGTCGAGGCGCAACGTTCGCTGGCAGACGGCACGCACAGTGGGACACCTGCAGAAATGTTCGATATTGCCCTGGGCGCAGCCGGCGCAGCCGGCGCAGCCGAGCAGACAGTTGGCGCGGTTCTAGAACCCGCGCGCTGTCGCCACTTTTCCACACTGCGGAAAACAATCACTTGGACTCTCGGGGGCACCTGGGCGCCCAGTGCTCTCAAAACAAATGCTGCGCGTTTGCACTGCCACGCGGCAGTCTGCTCCCTCGCCCCGCCGAAGATCGTCGTGTGTGGAGCTGCTTTGTCCCTTGGCCCCGATTCTGTTCCAAGGGTTACAGAGGGAACTGGCCATCAAGAACGAGTACAACGTGCGCTGGCATCCACCTGCAGTCGTCGGTCCCTCCAGCCTTGGAGCGGCGCAGCGTCTCGATGGACCCCACTTGTTGCGTCAGACGGTCCTCCGCTTGACCTGGGCAGAGGAGGAAGGATCTGTCGTACCAGTCTGCCCGGTTGGCTCTTGAATACTCGCGGGCAGGTCGTGCCAGAGCTTCACGTAGCCAGCGCGCGTCGTCCAGAAACTGGCGCTGGGGCGAGCACGCATTTGGTCAAAGAGCACCACGCGGACCTTGGCTGCGAGGGCCATCCACCCCAAGTTTGTGATCGAAGTGAACAAACCCAAAACCACCTGCAACGTCCACAGGTCAGTTGTGATAACCCAAGACCCAGGTCCCTTCGCCACCGAGCTCAGTGACCGCTGCGCCTCTTGGAGGACCCCTTCCTGCGGCGCGACCAGCTGGTTGACGTAGCGTAGAGTCGGCAACGCAGACATATTACACACCTGGGCAATCTAGTGCATCCCCAAAGGCTGGCCGCGCCACAGTTCCAATCGGGCAATAAATCTGACCCAACAGCTTACGCCAAGAAGCGTCGTGCTTCCATGGGTCGACCTGGAAGCCCAGGTACCCGGAGCAAGAACAGACCGGAATGCCCGCCCATGCGGGCACCTCGTTCCGCTTCTGTCCTCAACACGTCGTGTGTCGCGTCGTTCCAGAGCGCGGCGCATGATTTCAGCTGATTGAAGCGCACACAGGATATCTGCGGAAGTCCATGACAAAAAAAAATCGCCAACTCAGGCGCGGACACCCACCAAAGCTGCACCACCAAAACCGCATTGACTGCGTAGGCGCGCACAAGTGTCCCCGTCGCCCTCGCCTCGATCGTGTCCAACAGATTTCCCGCCACGACGGCGTAGAGGAGAGAGGAAACCAAACAGCCCTACCAAACACCCAATCTCGTTCCACCCACCCCCCAAGAAAAAGTTGTCATGTGACTAATGTCGCACACCCACTGTCGCCGTAGAGGCTCAGGAAGGCGTTGCTGGCGCACGCAGGAACGCCAATGTGCTGCAGACAGGCGACGATGCACTCCTGCGAGATATAAGACAGAGCGGGCGAACGAATCCAAGAGAATGGCCGCCGCATTGTCGTCGTTCAAGGACGGGAGCACCATCGAATTCCCAACTCCGGCAAAATCTATCAATGATGAGCGCTCGCGTGGGGATCCTTGCTGGCTTTCCTTCATGTATCCGCCCATGACCACGCGCTCACCTGCAGCTGCCGCGGTGACCGCACGAAGCGCCACAACTGCCTCCGGAACCAAGCCTGGCACGAGGCACTGGCTGCTGGCTACGCTGGGGCAGAACTCGAGCGCCCGGGCTTGCTGCCGCCGCGCGCTCCTGGAGACGGCCCCCCGGCTGGCGAGGCTGGCGGCGACGACCTGGACGGCGACGGGAGGCGCCCCGCGGACGTCTTCGTCCCGCGGTGGCGAGGCGGCACGCCGGCGGCGTGGGATTTCGCTGTGACCTCGGGCCTCCGCGCGGACTTACTCACGGCTTCTGCCGCGGAGGGCGGCGGCGACGCAGCGGCGACCCGCTACGAGGAGCAGAAGCGCTTGCACTTGGACGCGCAGCGCAAATGCTCAGAGGCCGGCCTGACGTTCATACCGATGGTCTGCGAGGCCCACGGCGGCGGTTGGGGCCGCGAGGCGCGACGCGCCTTCGCGGTGCTCGCAAAGCGCGCGGCCGACGCTACTTGAGACGACGCCGCGCTCGCGGCCGATCAGCTTGCCCAGCGGTTTTCGATTTCCCTGCACAGGGAAAATGCGCGGGCAGTGCTGCGGCGACTCCAGCCGCGAGCGGGCGCGACGGCCGAGCGGTTAGCCGCGGCCAACGCAGCCGCCACGGCGGATGCTGTGTGAACCACCCCCTGCCCGCCTTCGCCGTCGACCCCGCCCGCTTTTCCCGACGCCCCGCCTGACCCCAAACGGCCAGCAACCGCCACGACGACCACGACGATCCCTTGAACCACGACGACCCACGACGACCCACGACTTCCACCGACGTCACTCGCCCCCTCCGCCCCCCGCCCGCCCCTGCTGCCTTGCTGCCTTTGCCGCCCTCCCTCTCCTCCTGCATGTTGGCGCCTGCTAGTTAGTTGTGTTCTTCTTCCTCCTGCTCCTCCTTCTCCTCCTGCCGAGCTCTCGCCGGCGCTGGTGTGCAGGACTGGGGCGGGGCCAGCACTGTACCTACGGGAGGTGCCCCCAGTTGTTTTCCTCCGCATCTTAGCTCTTCCTCCTCCTCCTCCTCCTCCTCCTCCTCCTCCTCCTCCTCCTTTGGACCTGCCCAGCCTAGGGGGCTGGCTTGGCAGATGTTGGTTTTCCATTTTCGCGTCGTGTGCTGGAGGGTGTCCCCGTCCGACTCGGAGACCAGGGTCAGGGGCTTACAGTGCTCGCTGGTTCTCGTGTGCAGGAGTCGGGCGGTGGCAGGCACTTTCGGGTGCGTGCCTGAACTGGGTTTCCGCTCACGAATGTCCCAGTGAGGTGGCTGTTAACGGCAAGCCAAACGCTCCAGGCTGATATTTCGCCACTTCATCTTGGATCGTTGTTACCAGGTTGAGGGCACGCATGCGGCCCATGACCTCTTGCGAAGGCAGAGATGTGCCCCCCACCAACGCCAATGCATGGCGCTCGCGACGAACCTGTTGCCTGTGTTGTCGATAGACAAGTGGCGAGTGTCGGAGGCCTGGCAGAAAACGCCGAGTTCTGGGTCTTCCCGTGTAGGGGCCTTCGGCGGGCACGCCAAAGTACCCAAATTGTAGCCGTGACCAGATTTGCAGCATTCGTCAGCGCAGGCCCGCTTCATGGCTTCGGCAACGCCGTCGCTTTCCAACCTCGCGACTCCCAGGAGCACCGACGCGCCGAATTGTCCGAATGCTATCCAGGCTGGAAAAAAGGAGACCATCCGGGCCAAGAGAAGTGTTGCCAGCCAGCCGAGGAGCCTTCTCGATGTCCTCCTCGCGGATCCGCCGCTGCCAAGACTTCTGGGGAAGATGCCGTCGAGGAGAGCGCGGCCGAAAAGAGAAGTGGAATAGCGATGGGACGAGCTAGCACCTGTGATCTACTATATGTACTGGTGTCCTGACGCGTGCAGTGATGATAAGCAGTCCTCTGAACCCTCTTTGTTGATAAGCGGGCCTTCTCTCACATCCTCCCCTGGTCGACTCCATAATTTCCTATATTTTCCGCACTGTCGTTTCTGGCGCTTCGCGCCGTCAGCCGCCCTCTCGGTTGTGTGCGTCGGGCCGCCTGGACTCAGGGCTAGGCCTCCCTTCGCTGAAAAGGGTGGCGGCCAAAACATGCTCTCGAGGTCAAAGCCTTCAGCATGACGGCGCGCATACTGCTGCAATGCCGAGCCCGACCGACCTCGACCCATGGGGCTGGTGCTATCCCTGAGCAGACACCCGCTGCCCAGGTTTCATCCCAAAACTCCCTGGTCCCTATGAAGGACTCCCAGGTGCCCGCCATGCCTCGATGACTACCCATCAGGCCTTAATTCGAAGGGGCCTGAGTACACTCCACTGGGAGCCTGCGTTACTACCGATCTGCTGGCCCACCAGGCCACCCCCCCCTCACAGGAACTGCGTGTCGGGCCGCTCGCACAGCGAGCGCAGCGCCGTGGGGAAGACGCGGATCCTCGCGCCCCTGTGCGGGACCTGCGCGCCGGCTGTTGTCGTCGTCGTCGACGTCGCCGTCGCCGCCGCCGACGCCGTCGTCGTCGTCGTCAACGTCGTCGTCGTCATCGTCCTCGTCGTCGTCGTTAATGGTCGTTGTCGTCGTTCGTCGCCCAATCCTCGTCGTCGTCGTCAATTCCATTGTCGTTGACGTTGTCGTCGTCGTCGTTGTCGCGGTTGTCGTGTCGTCGTCGTCGTTGTCGTCGTCCTCGTCCTCCTCGTCGTCATCGTTTTCGTCGTCGTCACCCTGTCGTCGTCCTCGTCCTCGTCCTCGTCATCGTCGTCGTTGTTGTCCTCGTGGTCGTGGTCATCGTTGTCGTTGCCGTCCTCGGAGTCGTCGTCGTCGTTGTTTTTTCGTCGCCGTCTTCATTGTCGTTCTCGTCCTCGTCGTTGTCATCGTCTTCGCTCTCGGCATCGGCGTCGCTGTCGCCACCTTCGTCGGAGGAGGCACGAGGACGAGGGAGGAAGGGGGGAGGGGGGGACAGGAAAGCGCGGAGAGGGAGGAGGGGGGGGGGGGGAGGAAGAGAGAGGAGGAGGCATGAGGGGGATGAGGGATTTAAGGACGACGAGAAGGGAGAAGGAGGAGGAGGAGGAGGAGGAAAGAGGAGAAACGAGGAGGGATGAGACAGGAGGAGGGCGGGGAGGGTGGAGTCGTTGCTCCTGCACTCGCTGCCCTCTTTCTCCCCCCTGGGCGGGGAGGATGAGAAGGGTGAGATGCAACTACTGGGAGGTCTTCGTCGGAAGGACTAGGGAGGATTAAGCCCCATTGGGGGGCTGTTACGCTGGAGTGGGCCTCGGATTAAGCGGGATTGCGCCGGATGAATCGGAATTGCGCGGGATCAAGCTGGATTAAGCGGGATTAAGCCGGATTGAACCAGGCTTCGGACCAGGGCAACATCAGAATTTCACCTTCCAGGAGGTGCATCCGAGAGAGGGTGAGGGAGGGATGGAGGGGGAGAGGAAGAGAAGAAGCGCGTTTCGTTATGTTTGAACCGTGTGTCTGCAAGGGGCCGGGTATAATCCCACAAACCCTCGGGGCGTAGGTGGTCAAACAATATGTTTCCCTCGCCTTTGAACGTTCTGATTGCCGGGCAAATGCTTCACAAATGGAGGGCGGGTCGGTTTCAAGATGTGGCACTCGCTAGGGCCGCGCACACTCGTTGTAAACATTTGCAAGAGCTTCACGGGTTGAGGGCGACCCGTTTTCAAAATGTGGCTCTCGCCTGAGCGCCGCATACATGCGCTTACAACACATTGCAAGAGCTTCACGGATTGAGGGCCGTTCCTTTTCAAACTGTGGCTCTCGCCCCAGCGCCGCGGACATTCGTCTTTCACATTTGTAAGACGTTCACGGATTCCCACGGTCAGCATGCCAGAGATCGTATTTTGGAAGGACTCAAGACTTTGAGGGTGCAACAGTTACGTTGGTTCGCGGTGTTGAAGTGCCAAGACTGGCGTTCTGGCAGGATTCAGCATCGTCAAGACGAAACAATCAGGTTGATCCGTGGTGTTGTAATCCCAAGAACAATGTCTTGGCATGCTTCAGGGTCTTCAAACGGTTGTCTTCCAACGAGAAAGGTCCCTCAGTGGAAATGAACCGTTCTAGGGGCCCATGAAGAGGGAGCTTGGAGGCAGGGTGTATTCCATGATCGTTGATGACTCTTGGAATTACACTGATCCTACTCCTCCTCCTCCTCCTCCTCCCTGAATTCGTGCTCTTCCTCCTCGTCCTCCTTCTTGTCCTCTCCCTCATCCTTGTCCTCGTCCTCGTCCACGCGATCGTGCTCCTCTCCATCCTCCTCCGCGTGTTCGTCCTCGTCCTGGACTTAATCAGGCTGATCCAGAACTTCCTTGTCAAGGCAAGTCGCCTAAGCGCCGCTTCTGGATGGACGATTGGGGGCACTCGAGACGTCAATGAGAAGACTAATGCCCCGAAGCGAGAGAACCAAGGTCCAGAATCGGTGGGGCGCCATTGTCTCCCGTTGTGTCTCGTTGTCTCTCGCTGCCTCCCAATCTCCGCTCGTCTTCCTCGTTGTCTTCTGTTGTCTCCCGTTTTCTCTCTGGTCAGTCTAGGTGCCTCCGTCTATGCCCCTCTCGCCACTGCAATGGTGTAAACCATGAAGCTAACGCGCGTCATGGGGTGGAGGGGCGGCGGGCGTACAACGTGACGCCCCCCTGTTGTGGTCCCCAGTGCCCCTGGAGCGCTTGCGCGCACCTTGGCGTTGTGGCGACGACGAGAAGAGCGACGGCAAAACGACGGAGACACGTCAGCGACGACGACGACGACGCAGATGATGACGACGACAACGCAGACGACGACGACGGCGACGGCGGACACGGCGGCGACAACTGAACAACGACGGCGACGATGACGACGACGTAGACTGCATGACTGCACGACTAGACGAGTGGACAAGTGAACGAGGACGACGACGATGCAGATTACGACGACTTGACGACGACGGAGACGAAGATGACTGGCCGACGACGACGGCAACGCCAGCAGCGATAAGAAGAGACGTCGACGACGCACGACGACAATTTGACGACGACGCAAAACCAGACGATGAGGCCAAAGTCGAGAGGGCGAAGGCGACGACAAAGACCAAGCGAGGATTGGCTAACGACAGGGCGATTACGACGACGAAGACGATGACGGCGCAGACGACGATGATAGCGATGATGACGACACCAACGACGACGACAGCGGCGGCGGCGACGACGGACGACAACGACAACTACGACTGGGCGATGACGACAAGGACTGGGCGACGAACGACGACCACGACTATCACTGGACGGCGACGATGTCGACGACGACGACGACCTCTGAGATCATCCTCCTCCTCCTCTTCCTCCCTCTCTTTCTTATCGTCGTCCTTCCCCTGCCTCTTCTGATCCTCCACTTTCCTCGGGGTTCGACGCCTCGGGAACCCGAATCCCCTCCAGAATTGTGATCGACTGGGTCGTCTGGCTTACCGTCATCTTCTAGCCCTTCCTTATACCCCTCTTTCTGACATGTCGCATGTGATCACCCAACGTGTCTGCAACCACCCGAACGCCAACAACAATCCTGTAAAGACTACACTAGCCCGCGAGCGCCGAACCGTGCATGTGAGCACCTATGTGCCTGCGAACTCCGCACTATGGTCGCTGCTGCGGAACGATCGCATCTTGCTGTGAGGCTGTGGTGCGTAACGCGGGCGTCACTGCAGTGCCAAGGGCACACTGAGTGGCGGATGGCCTTCCCCAAAGCGTTCTGTGGGGGTTCGGGGGTCGTTACGGTATATGGGGGGAAGCGAGAGTTGGGGGGGGAATAACGCCCCTTGTGGCCTGGTCCATAAGATGTTAGCCAACGTGGGCCCCAAACAAGAATATATCGCATTGTGGATGTGCCAGCTATGAGGTACAACCATGTGGTGCAAACAATGTGGTGAAAACTATGTGGCGCAAGCCGAATGGTGTGAACTATGCTGTGCAAACTACGTTGCGTAAGCCGGAGGGCGCAGGCTATGTGGTGCAAGCACTGTGGTACCGTACGCTTGATGCAGGCTGTGTGGTGCAAGCTAGCTGGTGCCAGGTGTGTGGTGCATGCTGTGTGGTGCAAACGGTGAGGTGTAAGTTATGCGGTGGGAGCTACGAGGTGCAATCTACGTGGTGCAATAAACGCGATTCAATATATGTGGTGCAAGTTATGTGGTGTTCGCCGCTTGGAGCACGCTATGTTGTGCAATCTACGCGGTGCAATGTTTAGTATGTCATCGCGTGAATTGTCAAATACAGGGGTCGCGCAATCATCCCACCCTCCCACCCGCAAGTTGATTTGCAAAACTGCATGCGGCGTTGACTTCGATAACTGCTTGGCAATGGCTGGCGCATCTCTGCGGCCGCGCTGGCGCGCGCAAGCTCGAGCGCAGAGCGGCCTGGCCAGCTGGTTGGGCACAACCGATGCAGCCGCGATGGCGTTCACCGGTGGCAGCGTCCCAATACATGTAAAAAGCCGCGCTGGCGCGCGGGCTGTTCCATATGCTTCGGTGGCTCGGGCGGGCGCCGTATCATGATGACGTCAGCGACGGCGGCAACGATGCGAATAGTAGCGATGGTGGTGGCGATGGTGGCGATGACGACGTCAAGCCCCATGACGGCACGACGGCACCGATGACATGATGATGATGTCCATGCGTCAAAAGTGGATGTGCTTGAGGGCTTACGGCGGCAATTACGGCGATTGCCGAGGGCGATGACGTGATGCGGCAGCGCTGATGAGGGTGATGGGGAGGAGGTGCGCGAACGAGTATCCAAGAACGCTGGCAACCTGTTCGTTGGAACACAAATTGAATTTGTCGTACGTGCTTGAAGAACGCTAGAACAAATCAAAGACAAAGGGTTGGAAGGATTTCGACACGCCCGCGTGGCGCTGCGCGCGAGTGGCCCGCAAATTCTCATGTGAGACTGATGTGCGCACGTGCTGCATGCTGAATCAACGCGGATGCACAACGTTGTGGGATGAGGGCGCTGATATGGGCGAGATCGGCAAAGTCACATGGTGATCCCATGATTTCAGCACTTGTGCGCGGGCAGAACATGTCCAATATTCGTGAGCGAAGATGAACGGGCGTATAATGCTACATTTTGAAGCCCTTGCAACACTGATATGTTTGGTCTGAGTTCGACGTGCGGTCGCGTGGGCGCTGCGCCAGTTTTGGGCAATCTATCATTCAAACACGATCGTTTGCGATCGGCGACTGCGCGCGCATAGCATTGCTGTGATAGCGCTGGAGGGGGCCAGTTTGGTTGGGATGCTGAAAACTCAATGATCCATGGGGGACGAAACAGAAACATGTGCCATGTGCAGGGTCCCATGGTGTGCCGATGAGTCCGGGGGCGAGGGGGTGGCAGAGCCCATTTTTCCTCTTGGTTTGCAGGCGATGCGGTCGCTGTGGGAAGGTGAGAAGCTGATGCAAGCCGGAGCCACCAACTACGGACTGCATACGAGCTCCTGCGGATGCAACTGCCAGGGCGGCCTGGCCATCTGACACGCCCGTGCGCGAGTGGCGTGTCCGGAGCCCCACTCTTCCTCTGAGCGGAGAGTCTGCGCGGTGCACACTGTCGAGGTCCCCCAGCGGCGCCCGCAGGCGGGCACCAGGCGAGACCTCGGCATGCCTCCGCAGCGCGGGGGCGCCCACGGGCGGGAACGAACCGAAAACCCAGAACACCCAACACATTACTTAAGCAACACAGGTAAGACCCCCTTGGTGCAAAGACAGTTTTGGGCAAACCACTCTCTCTCTCTCTCGCGAAGAAGAAAACTAATACGATGAACAAGTACAATACGAAACATAAAAAGAAGACGAGGGGGAAACAACACAGGGGGAGGTGGCTTCTCCGCCAACCAACTCCTGCGCCCCCCCACTCGCCAACCCATCGTTCATCTCCGTCGTCCTTTTCATCCTCCTCGCCATCACTCGTCGCCGTCCCCCCCTTTTCCGGGAAGCCTTTTCCACGAAATCCTGGAAAGTGACATGGATCTCCGACGCGGGGTCGACGTCGGAGGCGTTCCACGCAGGCTGCACGGACAGCATCTGCAGGTTCGGCACAGTGCAGCCCGAGCACGGGCTGCCTGAGCGGCGGGGGTTCCGCGGGAGCTCGCGGGGCCGTAGGGGCCAGACGGGCACCGAGGGCCTTTTGATGGGGGCGTGAAGGATGTTTGAGGGTTGTGAAAGTTCCGTGGAGCTTCGAGGGCGCGGACGGGGAGGGAGTCGGCAAGACTCACGTTGTTTTAGGGCTCGAGGGAGGTATCTCGGGACCCAGGGAATTCCAGAAAAGGTTCCTGCGAGGTGCCGAATGCGGAGGGAGGGGGGGAGGATGGGGGGTGCCAGTGGGGGAGGGGAAGAAGAGGTGGAGGGAAAAGGACCAAAATAAACCTAGGATGCGCAACGATGCTGCACAGTCCTTCCTCGCAGATCCGTGCAATCCTTCCGTTCTACTGCATGGAAGGCCCCCGCCCTCCCCGAACGACGAGCACCCCACGTATGGCCGTGAGATTCAGACCAGAGCACCAACTGGCGAAAGGCGGGGGGCGTCTGCGCTAGCGAGTGGGCTAAACTGGGGCGCCGCAGTAGCGAATTAGCCATCATGCAAGAGCGGGAGAAGGGGACACGGGGGGGCGGCCGCAGAGGGTGGAGGGGCGAGGGCTACTCCGGGGCAGACGGGTCACGTCCTTGGGGGCGCTGGCGCGGCCGGCCCCGCCGGCGGGGACTGCAGCAGCAGCAGGGCCGCTGCGCCGATGCGCCTGGAGAGGACCATGGGACATGCAAGTGCCGAGTCATACGCCTCAGCGAGATCTCCGACGAAAGCCGCCCGCATCCGTGCAACAGTGGTGCGAAAGTTCCATTATGGTCGATCATTTGGATATATTTTCGCGCGGGAGTTCCATGTTGAAAAAGGATCCGGCCCTCCACCCTTGCAGCCGGTACACAGCTCAGCGTCTACTGTCGCTATGTATGGGAGATCAGGAGATCAGGAGCCTGAGGGTGCCGTCAGACTAGCGAACAGCGCCTCGGGGGACCTCAGATGAGGTCGAAGGCCAGGCCGAACGACACGACGACAGTGTCACCACCTGCGCCGCGGCGCCGCGCGACCTGCGCGAGGTGGACTGCGCCGCTGACATGGCGGCCGCCGCCTAGCAGCCCTCGCCGCCGCGGCTGGGGGATGCGGAAAAATGGCGACGAATCCGCCCGCCACTCCCCAGTGCACATGGGCGGCCACCAGACGCGCGGCCAGCAGCATTGGGCTTTCCAGGAAAGGCGGGCTGGTGACTATGATGTGCGAGTGCGCAAGCACCGCCACCCTGCCCGAGGTGCCTTCCTCGCTGCGGGGCCCCTGGACCGCTGGTGTCCAGAGCCCCGCGCACCCGTGGTCCAGCATGGCCTGCTGCAAGGCGGCCAGCATGTCGTGTTCCCTGGCGTGATGCTCCTGGACCACGAGGACCACGGCCTCTGCCCGCTCGCAAGAGCCCTCGACGCACGGCGCCAAGGACCCCCCCGCCGTCACGCTCGCCATGAAGATGCTGCCCTTCGCCATGGCGCCAAACCACGTGCTGAGGATCAGCAGGGTCCTAGTAAGGCTGAAATCCCCCGCTGGCCAGCGCAGCGCAGCGGGCGCGCACGGCTGACTCCTCGCCGCCTTCGAGCTCCAGGCCATGCTTCCGCAGCCGCTGCTGGAGCTGCTCCACCGACTCCTCCTCAGGCTGCCAGCGCGGCACGACGGCTGAACCGCTGCCGCTTCCAGGCGCTGCTGCCTCGGGCGCTGGCTGGGACTGCCCGTCCCGCTCTGCGCCATCACGCACCTCTCCTGCGGTGCTGGCAAGGTCCGCATGCACCTTCTCCGCGCGCTCAACCTCCTCCACGGCCCGCCGCAAGGCCTCCTGCGCCTTCCGCTTGCTGCCCTCCGCCTTCTCCAAGCGCTTGGCGCACTGCTTGGCATTGTTGGCGATGGCGTGCGTCCGTGCGTGGAGTGGCTTCCTGGCGAAGAGCCGCGCTTTGTTCTCCAGCCTGGCGCGCAGCTCCTCCCGCGGCGCCGTGGCCCAGTCCGCCGTCTGATCCTTGATGGCGTGCAGGCCCGACTCGTACATGTGGATCTCGGCAAGCACCGCCGCGTCGCCAGCACCTGCGCCCTCGCCGACGTCGACCTCCATGGCCTGCGCCCCACCGAGCGGCCCGCCGGCGCTGGCAGGCCCACTGGCCCTGAGCTGCTTCTTGAGGTCCGCAAGCTCGCGCTGCGCCTGGGCCAGCTGCACCGAAAGCGGCGGCCCAGCCCAGGGAGGGGCCTTGCCGCTGCCGCCGCCAGGCGCCGCACCCGACTTCGACTTCGACTTGGCCGCCGCAGGGAGCGGGACGTTCGCCCCGAAGCACGTGGCCTTGGACAGCCTGCAGCCCTGACACTTGAGCGCCGTCCCCCAGTTGACGACCGCTCGCCCTCTCTTGCTGACGCAGGACTTGCACGTCCAGTCCTGCCGCACAGCACCCTTGGCCCGAGGCACTCCGCCAGCCATCTTGCAATCGTTGTCGCACTCGCAGCGCCTCCAGTGCCTGCCAACGCCAGGAGCCGCCCGCGCGCTGGCTCAGGCGATGGCCCGAACCTGAGGGGACAGGCCGCGCGACACGAAAGCTGCCGCGAACTAGCGGTATCCGTTTGGCCCTCGCGGGAACCGCACATCTTGAGCCAAAACGGCTACGGAGTTATGTCTGGGAGGGGGAGGAGGAGGACGAGGAGGAGGGGGCGGATGAGAAAGGACAGGAACAGCAGGAGGGATGAAGTCTCCCGATCATTTATCGCTCATCCTACGCCTATTCATCCTCCTTCTCCTTCCCCCGCTCCTCCTCCAACTCAAGCCCTTCCAACTCCGACTCCTGCGCTGAGCCAGGCGCGCGCAGAGCGCGTCAGGGGCGGCGCTGGAGGCACCGCCAGGGGGCCCCAGCGCAGGTCCAAGAAATCCGCGCGGAGCTTCGAAAATGTATGTTTCTGTTTTCCCTTCTTCGACCCTCTGACTGCCGAAACGCTCCGGATAAAAAGCAGCCAGGGGCCAAAACGGGAAGCGCCCGGACCCCAAGGCCTCCAAGAATGAATGAAAGCCACGGGCACCTTTGGCCAGGGGCACCTTTAGCACGGGCGAAAGACTTCACGCTGTCGCGCCGTTCCCCAGGGGAGACGGAGGATGAGGAGGAATCGGAGCCGAACCGCGAAGAGCGAATGACTCCGCGCTCTCGAGGGCGCCCACGAGGCCCCGGCCAGCTCGCCATCGCTCGGACGTTCCTTCCCCGTGCGCTTGTCGGTGTCGTGCGCGCTTTCTTCGAGCTGATCCAGGGTGCTCCCCGATGGCCCTCACCGAGTCAGACCTGGTCGTCGAAGCAAATCCCCGACCAACGGCCTGGCCAGTGGCCCCGGCCAGCTCGCCATCGCTCGGACGTTCCTTCCCCGTGCGTTTGTCGGTGTCGTGCGCTTTTTGTTCGAGCCGATCCAGGGTGCGGCCTCCCCACCCCCCCCCCGCGGGTAGCTTTTCTGGAGGAAGACGAGGAAGAAGAAAGAGACGAAGAAGAAGAATACGAAGAAAAATAATTATCGTGGCGAAGGACCCAACCATATGCAAATGCGACTACTGCAATTGTGTATATCTTCTTCGGTGGCGCTTCCTATGGGGCCACGAAACGTGTGAGGGGTGTGCCGATATGGGTGCGCGGGACGCATGCGGGCACACCCACTGGGACCTTCGGTGGAGCTCCCTATGGGGCCACGAAACGTGTGAGGGGTGTGCCGAAATGGGTGTGCGGGACGCATGCGGGCACACCCATTGGGACCTTCGGTGGAACCCCCTACGAGGCCACGAAACGTGCGAAGGGTGTGCCGAAATATGGGCGTGCGGGACGCATGCGGGCACACACACCCACTGGGGCCTTCGGTGGAGCTCCTTATGGGACCACGAAACGTGTGAGGGGTCACGAAACGCGTGAGGGGTGTGCCGAAATGGGTGTGCTGGACGCATGCGGGCACACCCACTGGGGCCTTCGGAGGAGCTCCCTATTGGGGCACGGACGCATGTGAAGAGCATGCGGATTATTGGTGTGCGGGACGCTGCCGCACACCCACTGGGACCTTCGGCGGACCCGAAGGAGCAATGGGCCACGATGGCGTGAGGGGTTGTGCGAATGGGTGTGCGGGACGCATTGCGGGCAGCAGCACTGGGGCCTTCGGTGGAGCTCCCTATGGGGCACGAAAAACGTGTGAGGGGTTGTGCCGAATTGAAACGTGCGGGACGCTATGCGGGAACACCCACCGGGACCTTCGGTGGAGCTCACCTTGGGGCCACGAAGGTGTGAGGGGTGTGCGAATTCGGTAGTGCGTGACGCTGCGTCCTGTCGTGTGAGCGGTGCGTCGCGGGGGGGGGCGGGGGGGGGGCGGCAGCACTGGCGCCTTCGGCGGAGCTCCCTATGGGGCCACGAAGCGTGTGAGTGGTGTGCCGAAATGGGTGTGCGTGACGCATGCGGGCGGCAGCAGTGGGGCCTTCGGCGGAGCTCCCTATGGGGCCACGAAACGTGTGAGGGGTGTGCCGAAATGGGCGTGCGGGACGCATGCGGGCGGCAGCACTGGGGCCTTCGGCGGAGCTCCCTATGGGGCCCCGAAACGTGTGAGGGGTGTGTCGAAATTGGTGTGCGGGACGCATGCGGGCGGCAGCATTGGGGCCTTCGGCGGAGCTCCTTATGGGGCCACGAAACGTGTGAGGGTGTGCCGAAATGGGTGTGCATGACGCATGCGGCGGCAGCACTGGGGCCTTCGGTTGGAGCTCTCCTATGGGGCCACGAAAAACGTGTGATGGTGTGCCGAAATGGGTGTGCGTGACGCATGCGGGCGGCAGCACTGGGGCCTTCGGTGGAGCTCCCTATGGGGCCACGAAGCGTGTGAGGGGTGTGCCGAAATGAACGTGCGGGACGCATGCGGGCGGCAGCACTGGAGCCTTCGGTGGAGCTCCCTATGGGGCCACGAAACGTGTGAGGGGTGCCGAAATGGGTGTGCGTGACGCATGCGGGCGGCAGCACTGGGGCCTTCGGTGGAACCCCCTATGGGGCCACGAAACGTGTGAGGGTGTGCCGAAATGGGTGTGCTGGACGCATGCGGGCGGCAGCATTGGGGCCTTCGGCGGAGCTCCCTATGTGGCCACCAGACGTGTGAGGGGTGTGCCAACATGGGTATGCGTGACGCACGCGGGCGGCCCTTCGGTGGAGCTCCCTATGGGGCCACGAAACGTGTGAGGGGTGTGCCGAAATGGGCGTGCGGGACGCATGCGGGCGGCAGGACAGGGGCCTTCGGTGGAACTCCCTATGGGGCCACGAAACGTGTGAGGGGTGTGCCGAAATGGGTTTGCGGGACGCATGCGGGTGAAAGGTGTGCCGAAATGGGTGTGCGGGACGCATGCGGGCGGCAGCACTGGGGCCTTCGGTGGAGCTCCCTGTGGGGCCACGAAGCGTGTGAGGGGTGTGCAAAAATTGGTGTGCGGGACGCATGCGGGCAGCAGCACTGGAGCCTTCGGCAGAGCCCCCTTTATGGGGCCACGAAACGTGTGAGGGGTGTGCCGAAATGGGTGGGCGGGACGCATGCGGGCAGCAGCACTGGGGCCTTCGGTGGAGCTCCCTATGGGGCCACGAAACGTGTGAGGGGTGTGCCGAAATGCGTGTGCGGGACGCATGCGGGCGGCAGCACTGGAGCCTTCGGTGGAGCTCCCTATGGGGCCACGAAGCGTGTGAGCGGTGTGCCGAAATGGGTGTGCGTGGACGCATGCGGGCGGCAGCACTGGGGCCTTCGGTGGAATTCCTTATGATGGGCCACGAAACGTGTGAGGGTGTGCCGAAATGGAACGCGTGCGGGGACGCATGCGGGCGGCAGCACTGGGGCCTTCGGTGGAGTTTCCTCTGGGGCCACCAGACGTGTGAGGGGTGTGCCGAAATGAACGTGCGGGACGCATGCGGGCGGCAGCACTGGGGCCTTCGTGGAGCTCCCTATGGGGCCACGAAACGTGTGAGGGGTGTGCCGACATGGGTGTGCGGGACGCATGCGAGCGGCAGCGCTGGGGCCTTCGGTGGAACCCCCTATGGGCCACGAAACGTGTGAGGGGTGTGCCGAAATGAACGTGCGGGACGCATGCGGGCGGCAGCACTGGGGCCTTCGGTGGAGCTCCCTATGGGGCCACGAAACGTGTGAGGGGTGTGCCGACATGGGTGTGCGGGACGCATGCGGGCGGCAGCACTGGGGCCTTCGGCAGAGCTCCTATGGGGCCACGAAGCGTGTGAGGGGTGTGCCGAAGTGGGTGTGGCTGACGCGGAGGTAGAGGAGGGGGAGGGAGGAGGGCGGAGGGAGGAGGCAGCGGGAGGAGGAGGAAGGAGACGCGGGGCACCATCTCTTCAAAACGAGGACCCAACACCACAGGATGGTTGTGAATAAGAAATCGTCGAAACAAAGCCCCGACCAACGGGCCGGCCCAGCGGAGGGCAGCGCCGGGTTGGAGGCCTGGAATGACCCTAGGCTAAAGGGGTGCGCGGCTTCAGGGGCGCCCGTGGGAGCCCAACGCAATCGCGCAAGCCGGCGTTGCCGCGCCGCATCGAAGATCGGCGGGGCGCCACTCGACAGATTTGTTGTGCCAGCGGGCAACCGCAGAATTCCGCCGATTGAATTCGAGCGCCCCGAAAGGCACTTCGAAGGCGCTGCGAAAGCAGACGCTGCCGGGGGCCAACGCGATGACGTCTGGCACTGCTGGGCTGCATCGCGACGACGTCTGACCAGGCCCGGCGTCATGGCCAAAACCGGCCCCAACACCAAGACAGGGGGCTGCCTCCACACGGGGGGAGATGATCCTAGATTCCGGCGTTGATGGTAATATTTCGGTCACCTTGGGAGCCAAAATATTACCACCATCACCGGGATCGGGATCTTCTTCCCTCGGTGGAGGAACACCGCCGACATTGGTGTTGGTGTCAACCTCTAGGCCTGCGATTGGGGGGCGGGGGCGCGCATATGGAGGCTTCCTGGAGGGGGTCGCCGAGTGGATGGGGCCCCCAGACCCCTAGATTCATGAGAAAACGCACGACGGACGGTTTTTTCTATTATCGGCCTCTAGGAGCCCTCGCAGGGGCCCCGGGACCGTCAAAAAACAGCTCAGGATGAGAAAACTGGCCCATGGCGACGTCGACATGGAAAACGTCAGTCTCCTGATCGAGCCGCATCGCCGATGCCTCCGCGATGTGGAGCGATCCTCCGACCCCACCTCCCCCGATCCAGTCTTAGCGGCCCACAGAAACTAGGATGACAGACTCGGCGACTCAATCGCGAGGCAAGGAAGCCACTTCATCACATGGACCTGGAGCCTGGGGCTCAGACCTGAGCGGGAGATGCTCCTGCAATTCGCCGGTCTAACGGGCCAAAGGCGTGCCAGAATCCCCAGTAAACGACGAAACAGATACGTAGAACCCCACAGTTGGGGATAAAAGTGGCAGGGGGGGGAGTAGCGTGGGTTCGGGTGGGTGGCGGGTGCGTCACGGGGCGAATCGCGGGTTGGGTCGCGGGTGGGTCGCGGGCGAGGACGACAACGCAACAACAAAACAGAACAGCAAAACTCGCCGGACGGAACGCCAACTCTGCCTCGCACCCAGGGGCAATGAATGACCATTCGGCCCCCTCGCTCTGATCTAGTTCGCGCGCGTGCGGGGTGGCGTCTGGGGGAGGGGGAGGAGGAGCAGGAGGAAGAAGAGGAGGATGAGGAGGTGTTTTTTTCCTCCTGGGCGCGGCCTGGCCCACCAGAGAGCTCGAAGAGAGTCAGAAGGGACCTTCCACAGAGTCCAAGGGTCTGAGACGGCCCAAGAGCGCCCCCCAAACGCCCAATATTGCCTTCCGACGGCTCGATGAGGCCCCCCAAATGCCTCAAGGGCGAATAGAAAAGGAGAACCGAACAGCAAAGTTCTGAACTTTCCATCACTTGTGACACGCTTCTGCGTTCTGATAGGGGGCCGTGGGACACACACATAAATAAACACAAATAGCAGGATTCCCTATATTTTCCCACACGTTCTGGGTTTATGTCTTTCCCGCCACTTTCCATATTTTCCCACATTTTCTGGGGAATCGACGATTAATTGCGTCTGTGTTTTTTCCCTCCTGATTATTGCCTCTCCGTGCTTCCAGCGCTCCGACACAAAAACGCTCCAAGATGAGTCACGAGGCCCCCGCGAAGGCCCCAATTCGGGCCGGGCGAAAGGGGGGGATAGCAGAGGAGGGTTTTTGAATCAGCTCACGTAGCTGATTCTCCCGGCGCCGGGGGGCGGCTACGTATCGAGGCATGGGCCCCTCGTTGGGGCCGAAACCAGCTGCACGCAACAGATTTCGTAACCCTCCTTTTCCCAATCCCCCCCTTGCGTCCAGCCCGACCAAGACAGCCCGCGAGGGCCCCAAGACGGCCCAAGAGGTCCCCAAGACGACGCGAGAGGGCCCCAAGATAAGCCCACAAGGGGGAACACGGATAGACACTTCGAGCCCTCTGCCCCAAGACGGCCCCCGAGACCGCCAGGAAGCTCCCAAGAGTTCCCAACGAGGACGGCAGGCCCCAAAAGGGCTCCACGCAGGTTCCTGAGAGGTTCCCGAACGGCTCCCAGGAACGGTGGCCCACGCCAGCCCTACAAGAGGCCCCCGAGAGGCATTCCAAGACACCCGAATCTGCTTCCAAGGAGCCTCTGACCCACAACCCAAGCACAGTGGTGGGATGGCTCTGCACTTTGCTCATGCTCGCGCTCCTCCCCAGCGAGCACGGGCGGGAGGCCCCCCGAGGCCTCCCACAACGCCTCTTTCCCCTCCTCGTCCTGCTTCTCTCTGATCTCTCTCTCTCTCTCTCTCTCTCCTCATCCTCGTCCTCTTCCTATCTCCAGCCATCCCAAGCGGGCTTCCCCACCAGATGAGATGACGGCTTCTCCGTCTTAGCGGGAGCTTCACACATCATTCGGACAATCTACCGCCGCCGGGCGACGTCCGAATCGCTACGGCCACGTAACACACACACACGGCAACGATGATCACATACGGGCCAGCGGAATGAGCGAAGCGAGGTCATTGCTTCTTACACCGCTAAAGAATGAGGATGAGGAGGCGGAGGAGGAGAGAGGAGGAAGGAGGCAACACATCAGTGCTGCCACATATTGAATAATGCTCAACGAACGAATTCGAACGCTGAAGGCTGCGCAACAGGCGACAATTAAAACGCACACTGTCGCATACGAATCCACCCTGCATCGCACCTGGGGGGCATCCGACCAGGAGGCCAGGGGGGTGGGACGGACGGGGCAGGGGATCCGACGAGGTGGGCAGAACAGACAAAAACATGTCCATGATGTGAATGCCAATGGCTCGCTGGGAACTGCGGGTGCGGCGAGTATCTAGTTTGATTCGGAGAAGAAGCTGGCTACATGCCCCAGCAAAGAGGGGAGGGATAATGAACGAGGGGGAGGGGAAATGAAGAGGACGGGGAGAGACACGTCAGCACAACGAGGGCGACAAATCCATTCTCGCCACCGTTGGTAGACAATTGTGCGTCTAGAGCGCCCCGCAGCACAATGCTGAGCTGGAGAATTGATGGAGAATTTGTAGACAGGTGGGGGCAGACGCACCAGCACAAAACTGAGCTGGTTTGTGCATGTAGCACGCCCCGCCCACTTGAACTCACCCGTTGGGCGGATTGCAATTTCGTCACGCAGAAATCGTGCCTCCTGAAAGCGAGGCATCGGTGCCGACGCTCGCGGCTGCTGGGGCGTCGCAGAACTCGCAGCACGACTGGTGCTGGAACATCAGCAGCCCGCATTGGTCGCACTGGCCGCGGAACAAGCTGTCACCGCGTAGGTTACAAGGGACGCGGCGAAATTCCAAAGACGTCCTGTCCGAATAATATAAGGCGGCGTGCAACAGGCAGCAACTGCCCGCCAGCACCGGAACGTTCCACTGAAGGAGCAGTAACGCCAGCGAAAGAGACTGCGTGCTGGGCGGCGTTGGCTTGTACTCTTGGTGGGCCAGCTGCTGCAGGCACTTCGGGCTGCTGGGCGGCGCGGCTGCGGGGCAGTCCTGGGCCTCCTGAGACGTCAGCACCTCGTGCTCCAGCACGGGAGGTAGATTCCTGGAGCCCGTCCCAGCTATGGGCGAGCCGACGCTGGCACTGCAGGGCTGCCTCACCTGCGCCGCGCCGCTGCACTCCTTGAGATCCCGACAGGCCGAGGCGTCCGGGGCGTCGGTGCTGCCGCTGCTGGGCCTTCCAATGCCAAGGGCCTCCTCCACAGTCTCCATTGTCCCGACCGCAAAGTGCTTCATCGTGGTGGCCAGTTGCTGGCTCACCTGCTGCGTCGAAGGGCGAGAGGCTGGCTTCGGCCGGGTGCACTGCTCCACCACCGGTCGGCAAGCCTGCGTAAGCTCGTCGGCTTGCGCAGGCCACGCGAGACTGTGCGGCTGGCCGCGTCTCAGCCGGCTCTGCAACCGCTCTCCGCGCTTGCCCTCAAACGGTAGGCGCCCGGTCACGATGAACTACGTCAACAACCCAAACGAATAACAGTCGGCGGCCGTGTCTGGGGGAATGACCTGGCGTGAGAACAACTCTGGTCGAGGGATGAAAAAAAGACCCTACCCTGGGTTACAAGTGCGCGGTCTGGAAACCTCCTTGGAACCCCCAAAGCCTAGAGCCGCCAGGACGCGGCACATCACGCAGGGTTTACCCCGTCAGCCCACAGGAGTTTCAGCGCACGGCGCCTCGTAAACCAGTGTAGGGGCGTTTTTCCTGCCCTTGATCTGGCGCCATCCATCGCAGCGTGCCGCCCAGAGGCCTTGCATTCCGGGTCACGAGCCGCGACAGGCCGAAGTCGAGCAGCTTGGCGCGGTATGAGCTTCGCCCACTCCCACTGCGCCGCTCCTCCACGAGAATGTTGGAGTCCTTCAGGTCGCCGTGAACAACCACGGGATGCTGGAAGAAAAAACAAACTGGATAAACATGAACTTTCGGTGGTCTGCCCGGATTTCTTGGATCTGCGCTGGCCCCCCTCCCTGGCGCGCGGATCGCTCCAAGGGCTGCACCCGAGGCAACGCCAGGACTCCGAAAGTTCATGCTTAGGCCGCTGATCTTCCTTCGAGGGATGCATCGAGTGCAAGTAGCGCAAAGCGTTCAGGACGTCGAAGACCACCAGCGACCGTGCGGAGCTGGTGGCCGGGGCAGTGCAGAACGCGCCGAGGGGCACACCGTCCACAAACTCGAGCACCAAGCACAACTTGTTCGAGTCGACGTCCATGCACGCGCCGTACAGGAACACGATGTTGGGGTGACGGACTCGGCGGAGAGCCCTCAGCTCATTGCAGAGCTGGGGCAGGCACGAACTCATGGCGCCGTTCTCAACGACGCTCCCCTTCGGCGCCTTCACAGCCACCGGTGTGTTGTGGTAAGACCCCAGAAGGACGATGCCGAACCCACCCTCGCCGAGCACCCTGTTGGGCAAGAGCTCCAGCTCGCCGTCCTCGATCAGCCACTGCTCTCGGCGGCCAATGGCGTGGACCTGGTCCAGCGACGCGTGTTCCACGACGTCCAGGCAGTGCTCAGAGGTGCCACCACTAGGGGGATCGCCACTTCCTGGAGGAAGCGCCATCTCCCAAAGAGAATCATGGGCCCCCCAGAACACTCCAGAGCCCCCCCAAACGACGCCCCACGTCCAGGACCCCCCTCCAGCTTCAATGCTGGAAGCCTCGATGCTCAGCAGGAACTGGTGAACCCACTCGTGGTGGCCCCTCTTGGCACTGCCCGGGCTGCTGTTGAAGGCAGCCGCGCTCATCGTCGTCCCCGGGCGCGACGGGGCGGACCGATCGGAGCCGAGGTCCTCCGCCCTCACGGCCTCGCTTCTGGTCACCCTGGAGCACATGTTTGTGCTATTCGCGGACACGCCCGTGACGCGCCCCCCCCACCCCTCCCCCCTTCCCCTGGTCACGTCACCATTCGCGCCGGCATCGTCAGGGAACGGGCCACGCTGAGGCATGCGCAGACGGCGCTGGCGCGAATCATAACATGACCGGCACCCTCCTTCCTCTTCCCCCCCCCCTCGTCACGACCGTTACCGCCAGGGGATAAAAATGGTCGTTAGGCGCTGTGCCCGCCGAGCCTGAGCACTCGATCACACCGTATCCGAATCAAACGTCAAATGGGGCAGGACAAGGCAAGACGCGACCGAAAAGGTGAGAAAGCCGACCCTTGGCTGCGGCAGCGGCGACGCGAATGAGGCAAGAAGTCCAGAAACCGTAAGTCCACAAAGGCCGAAGAAGGACAACAAACAAACTGTCTCCTGGACAGCTGGAACTCGGCCTGGAAGCGCATCTGCTTCTCCGCCAGGAAGCCCGCGAATAGCTGGCGCTCCTGCCGCTCGAACGCACGCCTCCCGATGGCCGCGAACACCGTGAGCGAGACGAGATATATGACCGTGTACGGCACCATGTTTGTGGTCGGGCTGCCGAGCAGCAGCGCGGGCACGATGTTCGGCGGCGAGCATCCGGAGGGGGGTCAGAAGGGGGCGAGCCTTCTCAGATGGCTCGGAAGGGCTGCGGCCTCCCGAGGAGATGCCCAAGCCATCTCCGAAGGCATAAACGGTTTCTCGGAAGGTCTGAGGCCTCTGAGAAGCCCCGCCGCCAGCTCTCACTTCCCCCCCCCGGGCGCACCGCCGGGATGTAGGCCAAGAGGGCAATCACCTCCATGGGAGCGAGGACAACCCAGCGGATGGGTAGCAGCAGATGCAGAGCGGTGACCACACAGTCAATGTCCGCCGCCGTGCCCTGCCCACGTCGGCGCGTGTTAGACTGTTCCACTGCTGCCTGGTACAGTAGCTTCAGTGCTTTCCAGGGCCGAGCCCATCCCAGGCCCGCACGCACACTCCAAAAATCGCCAACACCAATCCTGAGTCATTTTCCAAGTCATGTTCAAACGGCACTAATCAGGGGAGACACACGCCCCCTCCCCCCGAGAGGGGTCAAACAACCCAAAAACCCAAAACAACGCCACGAACGGGTGACCACACAACACCGAGCAGCCAGAACTGCAGCAACAAACACCCCCAGACAGCCAATGTCGCCCCAAGACTGCCGAAAGATCTCCAAGGCGGTCCCAAGACTGCGCACGAAGGCCTCCAGACGCTCCACGAGGGCCCCCATATTGCCCTACATGGCCTGAACACTGCCCAAGAGGTCCCCAAGACGCACGTCGGACGCAGCAAACCATCTTTGCCCTAAGAGTTTTGGCAGATTTGAACACGCTGGCCATTCCTGGGCTCCTGAAGCCCAAGACAGCCGAACAGTTCCACAAGTCGGCCCAAGAAGGCCCTCACGACGGCGCAGGGGAGCCCCAAGACAGCGCCAGAAGCCCAAAAGACGGCCAAGGAGGCCCCCAAGACGGTTCCAAGAAGGCCCCAGGCGGGGCCCAAGAGGGGGACATCAAGCTTGCCTTGTCAGCCTGCTCCTACAGGATTGCCTTCAAGACTCCCAGCGTGCCCCCAAGAGGCCCCCAGCAGGCCCCCAGAGGCCCCAAAGACGCCCCCGAGAGGCCCAACAGACCCCCAAGAGGCCTCCCATAGGACCCCTACAAGCCGCCAAGGGCCTCCCAAACGAAGCTCAAAGGCTCCCGACAGTCCTTAGATAAGCTCCAAAATGCGTCAGAATCTCAACCTCCTTCCCGCTGCGCTGCTGCCCTGGCGCCGCGGTGGGGTTTGCCGCAGGCATGGGGATAGATAGCGTTCATGTCGTCGTTGCTGCCCAAATCAACGCCCCATATAGCCTCCGGGTCATCATGACGAAACAATCGCGCAGCGTAATCCGACTGGCCCTTTGGGCTAAGATGGTCTTGCGATACCTCGATTTCCTCTTCCAAGTTCCAAAACAATCTTCCTTTCTGGGAGGTTTACCTCCTCCCCCTTCCTGAGGATTGCTTTTTCTGGCCGCGACGCGCTAGAGCGTCCAAGATGGCACAAAATGGCTCCAACAGAGGGCCCGATGCTCCAGAATGGCCTCCAAGATAGCTCCAGATGGCCGACGATGGTCCAAAATAGCTTCCGCCATACCTCCGAAATCCCCGACGAAGGCCACAAGACGGTTCCAAGTGCTCTCGGAGCCCCCTCAGGACACCCCAAGGGGCCAACATCCTTCGAAAGCAAATCGAAATCCACCGACCAATCGGAGTGTGTGAGACACTGTCGTCGCCTTCGTCGTCGTCGTCATCATTTTTGTCGTCGTCGTCGCCAGTCCCAAAGAAATTGAAGAATGAACAGAGAACAAACACGTCGTAGTTCAGTCGACTCCCCTCCATTTCTCCTTTCTGTGACGGGGGGTGCTGGGTAGATTACCGCTCTCCGGGGGTCCTGGCGGGCCCCCGAGGGTGGGGCTCCCAGGTCAGATTGCCGCCGCCGCCCTGCCCCTACCCCCTCCCCAGGTTCCCCAATGCAGGGACACGAGATCCCCCCCCCCGGGTCCCCGCGGGTCGGAATGGCCTTCCCTGTGACAGGGGGGCAGGGGGTGGAGGGACGGGCTGGAAGGCCTTCACAATACAATGTGTGAGGCCTTCTCGCCTTTTCGCTTCCGATGCGCTGCTGAGGCCTCAAGATGGCCCCAAGATGGGCCAAAAGAGGCCGAAGAGGAGCCCAATAGACCACATGGGCAACCCCAAGAGCTCCCTAGAGCGGCCCAAGAGCGCCCCAAGAGGGCCCCCAAAGGCGATTTTGATGGCCCCAGGAGGGGATGCAAATCGACCCCACCTCCTCCTTTGATCGATAGCCTATTAGGTGGCCCTCCAAGGCTCCCAAGAGGCTCCCGAGAGGGCTCCAAGACACACCAAAACAGCCGCAAGAGGACCCAGTATGCCCCCAAAGAGCCCCAATTGGGCTCCAAGTGGCTTTTTGGGGGGCTCTGTCCTCGTCATCGTTGTCTTATTCCTCCTCGCCCTCCTTCCTCGTCCTCGTCCTTGCCCCCATCGTCTTCCTTTTCGTTTCCCTCCACTTCCTCGATGTCGCTGTGGTCGTCGTCGTCCTCCTCCTCCTCCTCCTCCTCTTGATTCCCTCGCCCCCACGTTGGCCCCAGGGATGATCCGAAGATGCCCTTCAAAATCCCCCCTTGCTCTAGAGATCTCTCGGTTTACCCGGATTGCCCGCTTTGTTTCACTACACGTGTCTCTCCGTCCCTTTCCCCGTCAACTCCCATGGGCGGCCGCAGGCGACGGCGCCGGCAGCGAAAGCAAAGCTGGCTCGGGCTACGAGCAACCTAGTTGCCGGCGCGCGCGCCGAACTAGGCAAGACCTACGTCGCCACCGGGCGCGCTGCTGAGGATTATTTCAGTCGCGGCCGCAGGAGAAGGTGCCCACAACTTCAGCAGAGTTAGTCTGGGCTATACTGCTGAAGATACATTTTTTTCTGGTCGCGGCCGCGAGACAAAGGTCAGGCGGCAAGAGCAACTGCTGAGGATAAGGAAGCCCTTTCCTTTGCCCCTCCTTTCCCGTAGCCACCGGCTCAAGGAGGCCCCTTCCTTTGCCCATCCTTTCCATCTGACCTGTTTCCCGTCTCCCTGGC